TTAATAAACGTTCACTCTTTACCGCATTTTTACTTCCATCCACTATGCACGAACCGTGCTGAACTGTGAACTGAGGAAACAGAGGGGGAGTAAAAGAAAATAAAACTAAGTCCATGTTCAAAACAAGTGGCACTGATGACAATGAACATGCATGTACACGCTATGAAATGATGTGCCTGCCTTTATTCCTTAGAACCTCTCCGAACCTCCTCGACATCACGTCCACCAACATGCTTATTGACTCAGTTCTATACTTTGTTCCTTTAAACTTTACACTTTTGACTCCATTATCCGACTTGTAGCTCTTCCGTTTATTTCTCCCATTAAAACAGAAAACAGATTCTCGATCATTCTAAGTCCGACTTATTAGGGGTGCCTCAGTATAACTGAATCTTGGAACAGCCCACAACCTTTCGGAATACTAAACGCAAATAATGGAGCAACAGATCACCTTTAGGCAGTATATATATATATATATATATAATGACACGCATTCTTTTTCTGTAAAATACGGAAATTGGTCAAGTCAAAGGTTCATCTTTGTTAAACTCAATTTAAATAGATTTTGCAAAGAAACAATCCTGGTGACCGAACAGCCATGAAAACCCATTCGACAGAAGTGAGTCTCGTCAGCACTCTGAAATCGTTGTGCCTCCGCTGGACATCTTCCGGCTGATAACCAGAAATCTCTGTTTCTGAGCTACGTGGTTTTCAACTTATTTTTTCAGCGCATGCGTTTCATAATCAAAGTGAAAGTTTTTTCATATAGTCCATACAATGCACAGACACCGGAGTCTGCTTATTAGTATTCTGGTGTGCGCTTTACTCCGAGTGAGTTTCACATATGTTTCATGGCATTTGCTTCGAGAAATCACTTGGAAATGTACGGTTCCAATCCCGTAAAGACACTACTGACGAGGGTGAAAAAACTGCTGAACGTTCTTCGTAGGTCACAGATTATTTTCTGTCTCCAGGGAAGCACATCAAACCGTATGATGAATGAGTGACAATATAATGCCGCAGACCCACACATAGGCTACAACAGATGGACTCTAGCATCTGAGACCACACTTGAAGCGTAAAAGCTTTTACCCATTCTCTGTGTTTTCTGGCAGCTCTTAGATTGACCACCTCTTCCTTCCTGAAAACTGTATCACTGCATATTGAACAAACGACTGTCAGATGTGAAAAGTTAAAATTCTATGCATCTACTCCAAATGTTCTAAAGCGAAGGCGGTTCGGTGGGACCTCATTGTTGCCAACTTAGTCTCCAAAAACCATCCAACTTGTGATTCAAACTGAAATATTAGCACTAGTAATTGCCACGGGAATTGCCATTTTCTCGTTAATCCAAGTTGTATGCGCGATGGAAGCCGGTTCGATCAGTCCTTATATCCCAGACGAAATCAGATTTGTTTACTGGAGTGTGTAACAGTCATGCAACCCGTGTCTCTCGAAGGCAACATCGGTCTTTTATCACCAGTGCGATAGCTTGAGCTTGACCTGATCTTCAATCCTAATCACTCGCTTTAACCATAAATTGACCAAACGTTTTTGATGTAATTGCATATCTGTCCGAGTTGATCTCTGAAGTGCATGCATCATTTAAGTCTGAGTAGGAGTTAGGGCATGGAGTCATCAAAAGATGTCTGTCTTTGATAAGCGTTGAGTAATATGCGCAAGATGCGCTCCACTTATTAGGCTGGCAAAGATGGGTTGTCCTAAGTCGCGTATAGGTAAAAAGCAAACCGACCCGATGAGCTGCCCGATATCTGAGTGGGCACACATGCTTGCTTTCTACCTTTGAGGACCCAACTCCAATCCCCATTAGGGTCGATTGATTTACAAAGCCAATGACACCGAATCAGGTCGATGCAGCTGTTCAGTGCGTCCACTTTTTCAGTAAAGCATAATTTGTTCTTGGCACGACGAAACACACCATAGGATCAAACCAAATCCTTCAATACTCTCAATAATTTTACTTATTGCACTGTTTTCCTTCACTACAAACAAAATCACTGATGCCACTGGTGTTGTTGGTAATAACATATTGATATAAATTTTGAGGACACCAAAACCGCCTCCTTCAAAGTCAGACGCCTAATGTGTTTTGACACATGAATTAAGGTATGTGTGTATACCCAATTACCGCCTAACACAGGGGAACAACTGTCCGGCGGATTGTGTGTAATGTGGGATTGATACAAAATTTTGGATTTTCAAGGCACAGATGGATGCGCACATGTGTTGGTTGTTACCTTTTTCTCCGTCTGGATGACATGATTATTGATTGATTAGGTGTCACCACTAAAACGCAAACAGACACACAGACACGTACGAAAACCTTCACCTCCTGAACCGTCCACTAATCGTCCTACTTAAACAGATATTCAACGACAGGCAGATGATACAAATTCTATAGTGACATTCACGCAGTGTTGCAGGAGGTTCGGCCGAAACTGCCGAAGCATGCTTTGTGCGGGCTACTGTGTGACGTAGTCGACCATCATTTTCAAGCCCATTGCGAGATTGCAATTTACTGTGGTAGCCCCAACGAAAATCCGGTGGATTCCAAGACATACACAGTGTGAAAATAAAGTGGTAAATACATACATAGTCTGGTCGATTTCACTCCTGATCTGTCAGAACGATGTTAGATTCTGGCTGCAGGTAAGTCATATGCAACAGTTTGTGACGACTTGCAAAATTAAACCATGCAGAATCCACCAAACGTAGATCAGCCAACCATCCGGTTGCAAATATATATTATATATATATATATATTATATCGTTCTGTTTCTGTGGATTTCGTGTCACCGATGAACGTGACTTTTACTATTTGTGATTTTCAAAATATTGTTCATCTGGAGTTTGTAGATTGCACTGGGCACTGAAATGGATAACCGGTTGGCTCGTAAGCTGAACAGCTAACATTATTGAACCCAATAGGTTTTGATTCCTACTTCACTTTGCTTCACAAGAACTGACTATGTTCACGGGAAAACTGGTTACATGAGAATGGCTTGTTTTACCAAACACTGAACGGAGGCGCTCATCTCTTTAGATTATCTTTGTTTCACTGTTTGTTTGAGTACATAAAAGTAAATCTGTTAAAATGTCGAAGATAGCTCCGTTTGAGATTTACTGATATCGAATACTAACTGCATTGCACAAAATGGGGCTTAACTTGGTCCGCATGAAATTCATTTATTCCTAACTGGTTATTTATTTCCAGTCAAATTCTTCACCATTTGAGGTCACAAGCATATAGCGTAGGTCGCATTGAACCCCTGTTAGATGTACCCGTCGGGTTCCGTAACTAATTTGCACCCTTTTTCACAAAACTGGTGGTCTACGAGTATCATGCATATGAAAAATATTCTTACAAAATCAAAACTGAGCGACGATAATGGAGTTACTCCAAGCTTTCAGTCAGTGGCCCATATTGACCACTGGGACTGCTAGCAAACATACAGTCGTGAAGAAACATGAAGTGGTGCTGGTGGTGAGTGATGAACACACCTTTTCTGAACCAAGATCATGCGCGTTCTCTATACAACTTAAACATACCCTCAAAATATTCACATCCCCAACAGTACTACTGGTATCAGGACTGGCTCTTCTTTGTGTTTTGAATAAACTTCGGAAATATTTCACCAGTAACGGGAACTCAGACCGGTACTAGGGAATATGATTATCAAATCTGTTCATGTGATGTTCGTTATTGTTTTTTTGTCAATCAAGTGCACTGCTTTGAAAGTTACGACACTTTCTGTCATCATACTTTCACACACAGACTTTGTCAAACTAAGAACATCTACCACGAGTTCATTTCCGGAGCAATAGGAGGTGAGTGAAAACTGCTTAAGATTAAGTTTTACCCACTTGATTATACACTGTCACAATAAATTATGCCAAAGAATCCAGTATTTTCCAGAAAAAGTTGTGATAAGAAATCTTTCTCTTCAACCACTTCTTTGCATTTTTCGGTGAATCTGAATGAGACATGCACAACTATCCTGCAAAATGGCAGAGTTTCCTTTTTTTGCGGTTTGACATAGTGAGCCGTAATCCACTACTTTCCTCTGTATGTTAGTTAGTCTTGGTGGAACAATCACGGAAGGCCAGACATGTAACATGCCTCTTCCTTTTCATCCACTCCTGCTATGGCCGATCACTTCCAGTGCACTTTAACAGCATCGATGCATTAGGTTTCATTTATGCTCGATTTTAGTTAAATGTAAATATATTCTACCAACATTGACTGTTTTATTTCTTGTGAATGCTACGTAAGCCTGAAGTGGGCTCATCCACGTATTTGAAAACTGAACGAAGCCGGCAAAGTTAAACTGTCTTCACAACTGTGTTAGTGAGAATAAGCGAATCGATATTTTCTTATATCGCTAAATGAATAAGTGATTTAAAGGAAATACCGAATAATTATAACTAAGACTGGCTGAACACGTTTTTGCTATGGATCAAGTGACAAGTGTTTTATAAAAACGTAGTTTTATGATAGGATGATAGAAAAAGAACAATGGTCTGGTCGCAGGATCACAGAATTTTATAACATGACCTGCATCTTCCCCTCGATAATTTTGATTTCTTCGAGAAAGAAGCTGTTTGTGACGAACAACGCAACAGATTGCAGCTGCAGCAGATTAACCCCACAACAATGATGATGGTTTTGTTGCAATTTACAACGAGAAAAACTGTCTAGAGTGGCACCGTTAGAAGACACTTAATTTACAAATTTCTGATCATAAACGAGCAGACCTGTATTGCATGAAGTGGTTGAATAAGTTCGTCTCGAGCTTTCGGGAGATTTATAACAAACGATTTCATCTTTTGGCCGGTTGGTATTAGATCAAATAAAGATTATCACTTATTAGTCTCGAATAAAGTAGTTTTGTGAGTAGTATGTTTGGATTGTGCAAAAAAAACGTGATTGACTGTTTCTCTTAACGGTAAAAATGAACAAGTCTATTTAGAGTAAACACCTAGGTTCAAAATAGTAACAACAGAAAATGCGCATCTACTGTTAGATCGTTTCATTATTTAACTTGTGTGCTAGTTGGAATTCTGAAAACTTGTTTCCAACGTTACTTTTTGTAGTGTGTATACCAATTTATCGATACCGTTACCGTTATTCGCAATAAACGAATTCCTTCGTCCTGACACTGAAGTTTGGATTTATGACACCAGTGGTGTAATGAAACTGACCTCTCTTCCTAACCCCGAAAATTGCGTTTTCCCTCGAACCAGGCGTGGCGGGTCTTGTGATAGGGCATCCATTAGACACCGTGAAGGTTTTGATGCAAAACGCACAATGCAATGTTTCGGTAAAGGACGTGACCACCGCTATCCGGCATGCGGGTGGTATGGTGAGTTTTGCAATTAAATTGTCTGCTATTTTTAATAACGCATACATTGTTACCAAATCATGAAATGTTTTACCCTATAATCAGTACAGTTCGTTTATCGAACAGCTGTCTAACACCACTTGTACTACTGTGAAGTCAGATCGAATTTACTTCCATGTAATTAATCCAGTGTTTTTCAACAAAAAAGCTTGAAAAGCATTTGAGGGTGTGACCAGACTTGAGCACTGTTGACCCAGCTAGGTCATGGAATATTTTATAATGTTACTGCAGGAACAAACTGAAACTATTACAAACAATCTACTTTTGTTACTCAAAGATTTTAACTCTTCACCAAATTTGTAGATATGCTTGTCGTAAGGTTACTCTGATCTCTATTAGGTGTTAAGTGCTCTTATCACTGAACTGTAAAACACTCTATAAATCCCACATTACGAAAATTCCTCATTGTCTTTGCACCTAACAGGGCAACTTTTTTCGTGGTCTCTCTGCACCTGCATTTTCTTATGTGGGCGTGAATGCAATTGCATTCGGGTCGTACAAAACCTGCATTCAGCGCCTAGATCCGCAGGAAAAGTCCACCGCAGCGTGTCTCGTAGCCGGGGCGTTTTCTGGTCTGATGCAACTAATACCATCGGTTCCAGTGGAGATCGTGAAAATTCATCAACAGAACACCGCTTTGTGTGGTGGTGAGTGACGTGTTTTTAATAGAAAAAACCTTTCACCTACGGGCTCACGAGATTTAACAATAGCTACGCCACAAAACTGCCATTCTCCTGATTTAAAATGCTTAGGAAAGTACATTGATCAATGAACTTAACGTAGCTGATTATAAGCTTTACGATGGCCTATCTATTAATTCCCTATGAGTAGGGGGTATTGGTCATTGTGTAACGTGTTTGGATGCTTAAGTTACAGATTTTGGAAATATCTGTTCACATATTTGTACTGTTTCGAAAAATAAATAGCAACATCCTGACTTATGCTCCATTATCAGAAGGGCAACGTGTTAAGGTTTCCGAGTTATTGCCACACGCGTCCAGTGTTTGTAGCCCAGCATCACCACCTTACTCTACCCGCTTTTCTGTTTCACAAGATTGTCTTTTGATTGGTCACTTCCCTCTTCATGCGAAATTACTTGTACAATTATGAATTTTCATGAAACCAGTTTATTTTGATGTTTTCGTGTGTTGCGGTGACCTATTTTGCTTGCACCACGTCGCAGCACTCACCAAATTATCCCTCTCTTAACCAGTGGCTGCGATCTTTGAAAAACTGAGTGTTTGCCCCCTTTAAACGTGCTACTTCTTTGCATGATCTGTACAGGCTAGAAGGAGAATTATTGCAAGCAATGGTACACATACGAACGTGCTATGAGGTCGTGATGAACATATTTCAGAATCAAAAAGGAGAAAAATATGTAAAAAACATAAAAATGAGAAACAATATAAGAAGGAATGATCAGTATTGTAGAATTTTGAAAAGCAGAGCTAGCTTGTGCATTGATAATAAATAATGTAGATCTTTTAAATGTTTTGTTTGTTGATTGTTTTCGTATTTCGTTTATAGGAGTAAGGTGGAGACCCTTGAACTTAAAACACACGTTTTGTAACACTTACTCGAGAAATTCTTTTGCAAAATGTCATTATGAAAATAATCTTTTAAAACGCGGCAACGTGGAGAAGGATTTGGGATTTAGTGTAGTCCTGTCCAACCTCAAACAAACGACAAACGACGGTAAATTGGATCCAAACACATTAATATTGTGAACAAAATTTTCCCTTAAGCATACTTGGAGAACCAATCGAAATGCACTTCGAAGTATTCTGCTCTATTTGTAGGAAGATTTGCCAGATTTCTTTCAATATTGACATCTAAGACTGCCTTACTGGAATTTCGTTGATCATTGATCGCTGGGCTGATTTATACAACCAAATGGGTATTGACGTTCACCCAGTTGGAATCGTGCGGCTGTTTTGCCATCCATCGTCGCCGCATGCTGGGGAACCACGATTGACTGGAGTAACATTTATTGACGAGAAGGACCTGGAAAAAGTTCTTCTATCTAGTTACCTTCTAAAGAAAGATTCGTGTAGAACAAGAATACTTCTAGATAGGCCATGGACGGAGCGAACACAATATCACACTGACTAGAAAAACGAACGGTAATCGGAGAACAAACGGGTTGTTCTAATTCATAGAGTCCCTCAATTGGACGATCCAGATGAATCCCTATGCCAANTATGCCAACAAAACGACTGCAAGGAATGGAGTTTCATTCGAGAACTACTTAATTGTACCTAGGTTCTCACTACGGCAATTAGTCGTCTACCCAGCTCACTGAACTACCACGAGAACGGTCCGAAGATAATGAAAGTGACCCTCTGAACGCCAGAAATGGCCAACTTCGTATTGGAGTCGTGAAAGGATAATAGAAAAAGAGGTCCGCCGGAATTACGCCTGAGACTATTACATAATACTGGATCCCAGCAAAGTCCGAAAACGGCAACCGATACTACCACGCCACCTTCCTCCATTAGCGCGGTTTTTATCACTCCACGTTCACCAAGCAGCACCGAGGAAGCCAATTCTACAAAAAAACATTGTTAGTCGACCCAAAGTTGGTCGGCAGAAACAACACCACATACCCAGATCAATTTCTTTGCCGAAGATATCTTTCATGTTTTTATACCAATGCACGAGGTTACCTTAGCAAATTCTCCGAGATGGAACTTCGTTGGAAAACTAATCGATTTGACATTGTTGTCGTTACTGAAACCTGGCTGACTACCGACATTCTCGACTCGGAATTTCTTCTATCTGGGATGTCGCTACTCAGACGTGATCGTCCTACACGAGGCGGTGGAGTGCTGCTTTATCATCGAAACAATTTACAGCGTTAACAGATTGATATTCCCGATGCAGCCCCCGATTCGTTATGATGTTCTGTAAGGTTCTCCAAAAATTATAGATATCTAATCGGTTGTGTACCGACCTCCCGCATCTTCAGACTCAGCCAACGAGAGTTTGTTGCAAACCATGGAGAATGCATTAGCACTAAAGTTCACCCATGCCCTCATAATGGGTGACCTTAACTGCCCCAATCTCATAAGATCGAAGACTTTCCGCCAGCCAGTCGAGAAAGAATTATCTCAGTTGATTGGATTGCACCCGCTGTACAACAACGTAACAGAACCCACCAGATTTGGAGCAGGTCACGAACCATCAACACTGGGTTTAGTGCTGACTAACGAGAAGCTGATGGTGGAATCTGTCATTTTCATTAGGACGTAGTGATCATGCCGTATTGGTTTGATTTTATAGGCTACGCATCTTCCCCAGAAAACCGAAAGAGCAGCACTCGTGCCATCATAGACTACAAAAAGCTGCAAAACCTGGCAATAATCAAGCAATGGGTCCTCCCAGAAGATGATCACGATCCTTTGGTGGCATGGAAGAGCTTCACTAATTATCTTACGGAAATTATAACGGCTGCAACAAGTATAAAAACTTGTGTTAAATCTAAAACTCGTCATTCATTCATTCACAGCCGAGCAAAGAAATAGATAGAGCAAAGGAAATTTTCCTGGACAGAGTACAGAAGATGTCCATCTATCGAAACTTGTAATAATTATTCCTTACTGCGAAATCAGTGTACCAAGATTATACGAGAGGATAAATTGATGTACCAAGAAACCCTGGCTCAAAAATTCATTTCTGATCCAAAATTGCTTTACAAAATTATCAATTCTACAAGGAAGGTGNCCAGCATTGAGATCGTGCGGACATGTTTCAACCACCATTCTAGAAGCAGCAGAGTTCCCCAAAAACAGTTCGCTCAGGTGTTTACTACAACGACACACGAAGCATTACAGATTCCAAGCAAACTATCCTGTATACCGTATCCGTCACTGGATAAAATGGCTTTTGACAGTGAGAAAGTTAGAACAAAACTATTACCTTTGCGTAAGAATTCATCACGAGGCTTGGACAACCTGTGTCCCGGAACTCTGATGTCGCTAGCCAATAAAATTTTTAAACCTCTGGCTGTTCTTTACCAAAGGATGTTCAACGAGGCAGTAATTCCGCAATCATGGAAGGAAGGGGTGATTTCTCCCATTTACAAAGGGGGATCTCGCAGTGATCCAACCAACTACCGCCCTGTTACACTTCTTCCGATATTGTCGAACGTCATGGAGGCCATTGTCGCAGATTTGTTGATGGAATATCTGGAGAAGCGTGACCTTCTGTCTCCAACCCAGCACGAATTTCGGCACAAGCGCTCGTGCACCAAAAACCTAGTCCTTGCACGGGATGAGTGGACAAAATCCGTTGATGCAGGCCAGCCATTGGATATAGTTTATTTGGACTTCTCCAAGGCATTTGATCGAGTAAACCACCAAACTCTACTGCAAAAGCTCTACAACTACGGAGTAGGAGGTTTGTTTCTGGACTGGATCAAGGAGTTTCTCCGACGAAGAACCATGTCAGTTCGGGTTGGTGATTCATTATCAGAGCCTATCATCTCTACCCGGGGGTAACTCAAGGATCCGTACTGGGCCCTCGTCTCTTTCTTGCATTTATAAACGACCTGCCGCATGTCCTGGGACCTAATACACTGCTTCGTGAAGAAAAAATAGCTGGTCGCGAGTGGAGACTTCTCGGCAGGCGAAAACCTCCCATCGGCGAGCTGCTTTTAGCGTTGTACGCCCGAAAAATGTTGACAAAATATTGAAAATCGGTTCTCGTAGCTCGGGTGAACTGAATTCCCTTGCGCCTGTTCGCCGAACTTGGAATTTGTTTGCAAACGTTTCATCACCAGCCGAGGTGACATCATCAGTGCTTGTGAAGTGGCACTGATGATGTCACCTCGGCTGATGATGAAACGTTTTCAAACAAAATGCCAAGCTCGACGAACAGGCGAAATGAAACTAATACACTGCTATTTGCAGACGACGCTAAGCTCTGGAGAACTGTAGCACATCCTGATGATCATATAGCACTCCAAAAAACGATCGACGCAGCCCATCGATGGTCAATCGCCAACGACATCGAGTTCAACATTTCGAAATGCGGCATAAGACTCATTTCTCCTACGTTCTGGGAAACGAAATACTACCGCATGCCACTGATGAAAGAGATTTGGGAGTTATGGTACAGGAGGACGTAGGATGTTCCACGCACTGTGCCAGAGCATCATCTATGGCTCTGAAGCAACTGGGACTACTCAGACGTGTTTTCGGGCAGTTCGAAAGAGCACTGTTCCCACGCTTGTTATCAGTGTTCGTTTGGCCACACACGGATTACGTCGTTCAAGTATGGAATGCATGGTTAAACCGAGACAGAAAGGCTCTAGGACGTCCGCAGAGGCTGGCAACGAAATTGGTAAAAGGTCTATATAACAAGACACACTCCGAAAGACTGCAAATATTGGGACTCTACTCATCTCAATACAGCCGACTTCGAGGGGACCTAATATTGGTATATCACATACCGCATCAACCCAACCACCCTTGCCGTTCTCTGCTGGCTTTATCTCATAATGATCACCTCAGGGGATATCCACTAAAGGTGAAGACCCAGGAAAGCCACCTTGATTGCCGGTATCACTCGTTTGCAGTCAGAGTGTGCGGCGCATGGAATTCTCTCCCATCTGATGTAGTGTGTGCTCCTACAGTTGAACTATTTAAATCGCAATTTGATAAAGCATTGGAACACTTAAAATTTTAACATCCGTGAGTGATCACGCACATTATTATCATTGTTATTTTCTCTTTGTGAATTTATTCAAAACATTCTGTAAGAATCTTATGGGGCATGATAAGTTTTAGCTTTGTTAAATCGCCCATAATAAAACTTTGACTTTGACTTTGATTAGCCGAGGTTTACCTGAGGTAAAGTCATTTTTTAGTGTTTCCCGGTGCATATGCACCTCCCTTATCGGACGCACCCTCGGTGCACCAGACCAGGTCTTCGTGCAAACCATGTCCTAGTAGATGGGTGCTTTAAATACACATCTGTGTCTACAGTGATCAGTGGGCATTTAGCAGATACGAGATATCCACACCGATCCATGGTTGTTTGAGACACGCCTTAACGCTGAATGATAAAAAACACAGGGCGAGTGAAAATCATATTGGATTAGTATCCAGTGTTCGTCTAAGGTACCCAACCTAACTATATTTAGTTTCTAACCAAAGCTGTGTTGATAAACTCAAAGAATTTGCCAGGAGCTAACCGGAGTGACCTGGTGCGTTTGGTATGAACAACCTTACGTGCAGCGAACCTTATGTCAAGTAACGCGTGATCGGATTTTGCGCGAGTTTTTCAATTCAAACGATAAGTCTAAACGCAACTATATCGTTTGTGGCTGAGCGCGTTGGTAGTTTGAGCCTAGTGCTGCTGAATCGGCCAGCGCTGTCGATCTTAAAGTCTGACGTTAGCGCTGGTCAAAAGTTGCTCGTCTGTTTCCCCCAACTAAATGAGAAAGGACTGAAGACCAGCAGAACTTTTGAAAATCACTCCTTTGAGGTAACAGTTCATTATTGCAAATGTTCACATGTCTGGATCGAGTCGCAATATGACCTCACGCAAAATGCTGTGCAACTTGTGATGATGACATTCCTGCGTTGCCTTCTGTTGGGGTGAACGCACAAATGATACAGATGGCCATACAGACTTGCAGTTGAGCCTAAATATGGCTCCCACTTAAGTAGACACCATTTAATACTAAAGAAAGGCACAGTTTATACGTAAAGTAAAAAGTGACAGAGGAAGTAACTAACCGTACAATGGAGCTAGTGTACCGACTACACAATCTGTGGGCGCAACATACATTGCTGATTGGGTTTAGAAAGCATGTGCTAAGCTTTTCTGTTGTTCACTATACACCATAGCGTGTGTATCCAATCAACTTAATTAGGCTGAAGGGGCTCCGATGAAAAAAAAAGTAGTAGTGACAATGTTTTCTGTTTGAAACTGTACGGTGAAAGTCGAGGAAATTATTGAGAGAAGCCTGACTCGTTTAAACCCGCTTTTTATCTATCAAACACACACTCTCTCTCTATATATATTGTATAT